GTAAAATGGTGTCGATCTGTCGTGCTCATTCGCGCATGCGCATTTATACAGTCAGCCCCCGGGAATATGGCGCCAATCCGCATTGATTGGCGCTTTTTCTACTTCTCCTTGGGGGTACCTGGGGAAGCCTGGTACTGCGGCATATGGGAGAGAGGGGTGAGCCCCTCCCCATCAGTTTATTCATGTGTGTGGAATATGTTCCACCGCAGTTAGATATGCGGTGGATGCACATATCATTTAGACCACTATAAAATGGCGCCCAGACGCCCGCACATGCGCATTATGCGGGACTTCGGCAAAATGGCACCTAATTAATTTTATTACAGGCACACAATACACTCTATATATATGGCTTTTGTGGCGTCCGGCAGCTATGGCTCTTATTCCTTCTGATGATGTACGTGTGATACGAAACGCGCGTCAAGGAGTAGCCCTTGTTAGCCGTGACGCTAAACCGCCGGATCAAAGGAGGTCCGGCGGCCACTCTTCTATACCAGCTGGTCAGTGTGTCATTTATGATATCCTTAGTGCACAAGGATTGATTTTATTCTCATTTTATGTTAGTGTGGTGTTTTTTAACATACAATAAATTTTTTTCATAATTTAACATAAATACTACACTATGGGCATTCCTTTTTTGCTCCACATCGAGCATTTAATTCCTCAGGACCACCAGGCGATTACTCCAAAACTCAGAGATATATCCAGCTGATCCTGTTTGGAACCTGTATGCCAGTAGGAATCCCCAGATGGGTCATCTTTCATCATAGAACCATCTTTTGGAGTTTCCTTTCATCCACAGTCGGAGTGATCTTTGGTGTATGAGACACAAACGCACATTTAAATTGTGCTTCCGGTGAGTGCGCAATTCATTCATTTCTTCTGCACATTGCCGGATTACATGCATTACAAAGATCTCATCGGGATACACTTATCTGTGTTTCTTTGATGATTGGACTATATTGTGCATTTATATTGTGCGTTTTGTATTGTGAAGTGATAATTGTTGGAGTTCATGTCATTCCTTCTCCTCCTCCTGTTTCCAACTCATGGGAGGATCACATATAGTGTGTTTGGTCACATATAATGCATATGGTCCACATCTGCTGACATTTTAGTAAGGGATATTGTACCATCTCCAATACTGGTACAGTCATATAACATCAAGCGCTGCACGCACGGGCCTTCTGATGGATGAAGGTAGAAAGTGAATCATTTACCTACTGGCGGGCACAAATAAGCTGCCATACCTTACCTGTTATTACCTTAAAAGAGCAGGAATCAGTGTATGGGTGCACGGAACGGGACAGCCTGCGGTGCAGCACAACAGCTTACAATCTTACACAAATCAACAGTATTCCCCCTCCCATAACTGGTCCTGTAGCACCTTCTGAGCAAAACGCCAGTCTGGCTTGAGTTTGTAGGATTTTATCAGTTCTCCAATGTGAAATGTCACTTTAAGTGGTGGAGTCCTTCCAATAATCAGTAACAACACTTGCGGTCTGACACAAACAGAGACCCTAACAAACTAACTACCGGCCTGGGCTCAGTCTCTGGGCGCCAACACTGAAATGAGGTGCTGCACGATCTTACCGACTCGGGTCTGCTTTGCATCCGCTGGTGACTCTGAACAGAACAAATGTTGCTTAGTTCCTCTGCTCTCATCAGCCTTCCTGGCAGCAATCTCTGGTTAGTGAGGGATGCTTTCACACCTGGATGTCATCGGATTTTCAGCTCACACGGCCCCTGCATTCAGCATCGTCCAAAACATGGCTCCTGTCTCCTCTTCCTGTTTTCCTCAACTGCCTGTGAAAACCCCACCTCTTCATGAATATACAAATATTCGCAGTCTGAGCCTGTGTTAGAAAAACAGTGACATCTTGTGGCTAAACCGCAGAATGTCAGTCAAAACATCAATTTACTCCACACAATAATTTACTGCACACAAACAGTGTTCAAACAATGAGAGCTGTTTCCCCATCTCACACAGGAACAGGCAGGATCAACTAGGTATTGTACAGCATAGAATGGGACAAATGACACTACAGAAACACTATGCTATTTATTATGCCTTAAAGGGACATGAGCATTTCTTTAGGGTTATGACCACTTTAAAGAGATCATACCTGATGATACAGATGTAGTTGGGCAAGTAATCCGTGGCAGCTCTACTGTGGGAAGCCACTCCCTGATTGCTACATGAGTACTGCAGTTCCAGTGTGGTGGTCCTTTACCTTCAGATCCCTCCAGCTGTTCACCTGTGTTACCTAGGCTACACAGGACTTCATTCAAAGGAATGCTATTTATGGGGATAATCTCAAGTAGCTGTTTGTGTTCTGAACGGTTTTACTGAAGTAGTTATTCTCAACTAGACTCTCTGTTGTTTTTGACTCTTATAGAAACAATAAATAGTTGTAAGCAAACAAAAAGAAAAAGAGAAGTCTCAGGCTCAGCAAAGAAAGGCACTGACTCTTGATAATGTATGTAATGTATGTGGGGATAACTGCGGTGGCCCTGAATTAGATTAGGATTGGTAACATGTGTAGCAGATTTTTTAAGGAGCTCACAGGCTTTGATCAAGGCTGGCATTCCTGGTGGAACTGTGAATAAAAAGAATAAACATGAAAGATCTGAAGAGTGCATAGAGTTTTTTTCTTTTAATGTAATCCAGTCTTCAGAAGAAATGCCAAAGTGTTTCTGGGGTCATAAATGCCCACTTCTTATAAGTATGTCAATCTACACAGAACTGTTAGGTGGAAATGGATAAGCAGACTATGCAGCCCTGTCAGTAGCGCTGTGGTTACTCTTCAGAACTTTGATATTTGTCACTCAGGGCTGGTGCTACCACTAGGCAAACTTGACAGCCGCCATGGCCGTTGGTGTCCCTACTGTCCACTGGCTCCCTAACACTCTGCTGACTTCCCCACACAGTCCGCCGCTGCTCTTCACATTGCGCCAATGTTCCGCATACTTCTGAGCTGCAGGATAATGTTAGTTTGAGATGAAGCCAACTCTTGCCAACTTCAGCCGATCCTTGAAAAAGAGGTAACCTGCCAATGAAGAGCTGCACAAGCCATGTTGTGCAACTTCACTTCCTCGTAGCTCCCCAGTCAGTCTCTGCATGGAGCCAACATTGGCAAGAAGGTGAGAAAGCATCCCTGCACAGGCTGCATTTGGCAATATGTTAAGAAATGTATCAGTAGTTGGACTTGGAAATCATATGCTTTTTTTAAAATATAATGGTATCATCATGGTAATATATTTTTAATAATAACACACAGATGTCTTTTTTGGGGGGGGGGGGGGGTGCAAGTAGCTAGTCTTGCCTAGGGCTCAAAATGGGTCTAACACTGGCCCTGTTGGCACTCCTACATTTCAACTTATTCTGACCCAGAACAAATATGTAGATCAGGAGTTCTGACAGCTGTACTCCATTATTATCCTTAATAGTATCTTAGGAAGCACTAAAGCCAGAGGACCAGCATGACAACAGGTGAACTAGCATTTTCAAAAGCAGCTTTGCAATGTTAGCCTACATATTTCTCTGATGACAAGCTACCTTTATTATATCTGGCCTGTAATTAATAAACTCCTGCCTGTTATAACTGTTTCTGAGTTGTGTAGAGAATGGAGGATCAATAGGTTCTGTTGCTATTTGTCAATGTGAACATCACAGGCTCCTACTTATTCTGACAGCACAATATGAAATGCTGCCTATTGTTCAGTTGACATTTCTCATACATAATTATTAACAACAGTGTTTCTGTGCATGGCTGTCTCCAATCCCTGCTAATTCAGTGTCATCCATCTCACTATCTGACTTCCACAACTGTCAAACAATCACAGACAGCGTGTCTATGTGTTCTGCTCATTTCTTACAGCAATTCATCATTAGGACTTTTATTGTGAAAGTGTGACATTCTTCTTTCTATCATTTCCATTATGGCTGGGTGGATGGAATGTGCAGATCAGGTTGCGGAGCAAGATGGATCTGCATTAAGGAGTAACTACTTGCAAGTACTGCATTGTTACCGTACTCATGAAATCATTGGGGCCAAATGTAACACTTTCTCCCGTATTTCCTTTGTAGGATGATATCTCCAGCAAGTTTTGTGGAACTAAATCTGGGACAAAAGTGAGGTAGAAGGAAACAGTTAATGCATGAAAAATTCTTCATAGTCTTAAAGCAATATTAAACCCAAAACCAAACATTTATTATGTTGCAGCTCACCAATTCTTGGATGTGCTAGCTAGCTGTAAGCTGTCTGCTATTTTTCAGAAGTTCTCCAGGAGAATGTATCAGTTTACATGGATGAGACAATCCATTTACCACGGCAGGGATGATTAATATAATCCACTTTTATTTATTAATGTAAAACCTTAATCCCAAAAGGAAAAAAAAGACAGTCTGCTGTTATAAAGTGTTAGCTGCAATATAATACATGTTTTGTTTTGGGTTTAATACTGCTTTAACCACAAAGCCTACCGGGCACTTGTACCCCCTTCCTGCCCAGGCCAATTTCCAGCTTTCAGTGCTGTTGCACTTTGAATGACAATTGTGCGGTCATGCAACACTGTACCCATATGAAATTTTTATCATTTTTTTTGTGACAGATAGGGCTTTATTTTTGTGGTATTTAATCACCTCTGGGTTTTTTATTTTTTCTTAAACACACCAAAAACCACTAAAAATTTTGAAAACAAAAAAAGTTTTTTCTTAGTTTTTGATCTAAAATTTTGTAAATAAGTGATTTTTCTCCTTCACTGATGTGCGCTAATGAGGCTGCACTGATGGGCAATGATAGGCTGCACTGATGCACACTGATAAGTGGCATTGATGGGCACTGATGAGGATGCACTGGTAGGTGGCACTGATGGGCATTGACAGGCATCTCTGATGGGCACTGAAAGGCGGCACTCATATATGGTACTGATAGGTGGCACTGACTGGCACTGATAGGCAACACTGACTGGCACTGTTAGGCGGCACTGATAGGCAGCACTGACGGGCACTGATAGGCGGCACTGATACACACTGATAGGCGGCACTGATACACACTGATAGGTGGCACTGACTGGCACTGATAGGTGGCACTGATTGGCAGCACTGATAGGTGCCACTGACTGGCATTGATAGGTGGCACTGACTGGCACTGATGGGTGACACTGAAAGGCAGCTCAGATGGGCACTGATATGTGGCATTGATGTGGCACTGAAGGGCACTGAAATGTGGCACTGATGGGCACTGGCAGGTGGCATGGATGAGCACTGAGAGCTGGAACTGATGGACACTGACAGGTGGCACTGCTGGGGCTACACAGATCATCAGGGCACACAGATCATCAGTGCTCTGATGATCTGTGTACATGTCCCCTCCGAGGAATGCTGATTACCGGCTCTCCTCTCCTCTTGAGCTGTCAGCGTGACAGCTTGTGAGGAGAGAAATGCCGATAACCGGCATTTCCCTGTTTACATGTGATCAGATGTGATTGGACACAGCTGATCACATGACCGAGCCAACATCTTCGGCTCTTTCTGTGGATTGGTGATTCGCTGTGTCCGAGGTACACAGCGTACCGCCGATCGCGCTCCCGGAGCCGCGCATGCGCGGTTAGAATGGGAGGACGTCATATGACGTCCTCCCAGAATGAAAGAACCGTCTTGCATCCGTCATTTTACTATATGGCGGGCGGGAGGTGGTTAAAGTGTTACTAAACCCACAATATTAAAATCAGTCTGTATATGCAGTAAAGCATGCTTGGTATACTCACTGTGGAACCTACGGGGTTAATCCTCTGCATTGTGTAAAAAGGATGTTTGATCCTGTCTTCTCTGATCCTCCCCTTCTTCACAGTCCCCAATCCATCTGCTGATAGAGAAGAGCCTTGGGGACAAGCTGCACATGCCCATTTTGGCATGTATTGTTTTTTTTGTCTTGGGATAATGTATGTGATCAGCACAGGGCCAATCAGCGCTGTCCAGACAGAGGGTCAGGGGTTCTGCAGCCTCATGGGACAATCAGGGGAGGATGAAAACTCCTCCTATGAGCTTTAACCAATGCTCTACTGGGACACTGATAGAAGTCACAAGACTGCTCTAACTGCTGATGAGAAAAAGTATTTAGCAGTTTATATTTACTAAAATAATTGCACTTCCATGTTCTGTTTACTGTGTCAGACCAGATATAGTGAATGCAGGGTCCTGGGTTTAGTAACACTTGAAGCACATTTCATTTTTATATAAACATAGGAAGCATTATTATGTTAAGGCAGTTCATTTTTCCAAATAGGCAGCCAATTCACTGCAACACATTTTATAACAGACATGTACCCTTTCGTACAACAATGCACTGCTATGTGGTATGCTGGCTAGGAGCATCGGGGTACCATTTAAAACAAATGGCACTGTAACAGCCTACAATTTGCTTCACTCTGCATTGCAGTAACACAAATCTTCACAGGTACTTACGCTCGTTTAGTACACCTTATCAATCTAGACAGCATTATGCTATAAGGTCAAAAAGTATATCTGACATTTGCAGAGGATCACTTAGGATTTTTTTTCCATAATCATAACATTTATTATACTACTAACATATGTTATGCAAGCTTTGCAAAATTATCAGATAGAGAGACTTTTAACAAAGAATCCCAACCCTAGATCCTTAGTCTCCTCTAGGACTCCAGAAGTATCCAGAACCAGAATCATTAGGTGATCAGATACTGGCTGGTGGTGGGGCTCCCCAGTGCAGATCTTTTATAACCCAAACACATTAACCCATAACTCATTCACATAGTTGCCAACATTTCAAAGACATTTTTATTTACACTTTTTTTCCTGTATGTCAAGAAAGACAGCATAGGCTGTAATTAGGGGTGGGGCATTCATTCATGGGCGTGGTTTAAACCACACCAAATATTGTGAGTGGTTTAAAATAGCCAAAAATATTGGGTGTGGCTTAAAGGGGGTGTGGTTAAACAGTGTCTGAGATTTTCTTGAGCTCCCCCCTTGCAATTTTGCTTTCCATCACAACATCCCAAAAAACAAATAAACACACACATAGACTTATCTAAAAAAAAACTTTAATGCAAACATAAAGAACTGATTGGTTGCTAGAGGTTACAGCACATCATTACTGCTCACTATTTGGTTTCTAGAGGTTACTGCAGTTTAGTATAGAACTATGGTCAGAGACTGCAGGTATAGTACAGGAAATGGTCAGAGACTGCAGGAGTAGTACAGGAGATGGTCAGAGACTGCAGGCATAGTACAGGAGAGGGTCAGAGACTGCATGCGTAGTACAGGAGAAGGTCAGAGACAGCAGGAGTAGTATAAGAGATGAACAGAGACTGCAGGGATAGTACAGGAGAGAGTCAGAGACTGCAAGAGTAATACAGGAGAGGGTCAGAGACTTCAGGAGTAGTACAGGAGATGGTCAGAGACTGCAGGAGTAGTACAGGAGAAGGTCAGAGACTGCAGGTATAGTATAGGAGAGGGTCAGAGACTGCAGGAGTTAGTAAAGTAGAGGGTCAGAGACTACAGACATAGTGCAGGAGAGGGTCAGAGACTGCAGGAGTAGTACAGGAGAGGGTCAGAGACTACAGACATAGTGTAGGAGAGGGTCAGAGACTGCATGAGTAGTACAGGAGAGGGTCAGAGACTGCAGGTATAGTACAGGAGAAGGTCAGGGACTGCAGGAATAGTACAGGAGAGGGTCAGAGACTGCAGGTATAGTACAGGAGAGGGACAGAGACTGCAGCAGTAGTACAGAAGATGGTCAGAAACTGCAGGAGTTAGTAAAGTAGAGGGTCAGAGACTACAGACATAGTGCAGGAGAGGGTCAGAGACTGCAGGAGTAGTACAGGAGAGGGTCAGAGACTGCAGGTATAGTACAGGAGATGGTCAGAGACTGCAGGAGTAGTACAGGAGAGGGTCAGAGACTGCAGGTATAGTACAGGAGATGGTCAGAGACTGCAGGAGTAGTACGGGAGAGGGTCAGAGACTGCAGGAGTAGTACAGGAAAGGGTCAGAGACTGCAGGTATAGTACAGGAGAGGGACAGAGACTGCAGCAGTAGTACAGGAGAGGGTCAGAGACTGCAGGTATAGTACAGGAGATGGTCAGAGACTGCAGGAGTAGTACAGGAGAGGGTCAGAGACTGCAGGTATAGTACAGGAGAGGGACAGAGACTGCAGCAGTAGTACAGGAGATGGTCAGAGACTGCAGGCATAGTACATAAGAGGGTTAAAGACTGCAGATGTCCCCATACAGGCCACCCACCACCGCTTGCTCCCCCCCATAAAAAAAAAAAAAAAAAAAGGAAGAACATCAGCCATCTACCTGACTTCTATGCTGGCTTTGGGCCCTCCGGCTCCTCAGTCCTCTGTCTGCTTGGGTCTCTGGTGATCTCCTGTGTCTGTCCCTTTTCCTGTCTGATCCAGTCTGCAGTTTGCCAACAGCTGGGAGTGTGTGTCCATCTGGTTCACTGGCCTGTTCAGCAGCAGCCTCCTCTTCCTCTCTATGTGCTGACAGGAAATGATCGCCCTCTGCTAGCCACGCCCCCTTGCTAGTACTAACCAATCATGCAAGAAAACAGCACCACGTGACCTCCTGCAAGCAGGGGAGGTGGGAGAGGATCTGACTCCCTGAAAATTAAACTCTGCTTACCCAGTTTGTCAGTGCCAAACTTCTCTGCTGTTTTTTGTGATTCTGCCCAGGACATGCTCTGAGTGGGACATCTGTGTGATTTCCGTGAATGTCCCAGGCAATCCGTGACTGTAGGCAACTATGCATTCAGAGCAAGTGACAATGTTTTCCTGACCTCACCTAAACTCCCCTGATCCTCCTTCCTATGTTGCAGCCACCACCACAATATATCCAAGTGTCAGGAGTGTGTAGCTCTCCTGCTCCATGATAGCTGCTGGTCTCATTCCATCATCCTGGTTTAGGCTGAGCTACATTTTCCCTGTCTTTCTGACCACCTGCAGGGTGATTGACGACCTTGGATTGGATATCGACTACTCTCAGATCTCAGCCTGACAACTCGGATTTTCACTGACCACTCTGCCTGTCTACCAACTGCAAGTACCTGTTCACTGTGCTCAGTTCACGCCTGCTACAGCATGGTAACCAGACAATATAACATTGTGTATAAGACCTGGGGGCAACCATGTATCGGCAGGCCTGCTTGCCTTATGGGAAAGGGGGCTGCTATAGGTGAAGAACATACAGGCCAGCTACAGTGCCTGAAAACCTACGCTAGGGGTAGGCGTGACACCAACTATTAGCTGATGTCAGAGCTTACAAAGAGTGATGAAGCTCCTTCTGCCATGTAACAGTGATTGGATCCAGCAATTAGCCACTAGGCCTGAGCACTTCATCATGGAAAGGGGTCACATGCTCCCTCCTATCTAGAAGCACTGGGTATTGTGTGATTAATGCACTGGGATGCAGTAGGGGATTGCCATAAATGTGATCATAATTGGGCAGCACAGTGGCTAAATGGTTAGCACTTCCGCCTGGCAGTACTAGGGTCGCTAGTTCGAATCCCAGCCACGGCTCCACCTGCCTGGAGTTTGCATGTTCTCCCTGTGCCTGCGTGGGTTTCCTCCCACACTCCAAAGACATGCTGGTAGGTTTATTGGATCCTGTCTAAATTGGCCCTAGTATGTGTACATATGAATGTGAGTTAGGGACCTTAGATTGTACTCCCCTTGAGGGTTAGGGACTGATGTGAATATACAATATATATGTAAAGCGCTGCGTAAATTGACGGCGCTATATAAGTACCTGAAATAAATAACTGGGTCAGCTGATTGACCCTGTCCCTTTGCTCTGAATGAGCAAAGCGGCAGGGACTCTTTAAACGTTCTTTGATTTAATTCATGTGTCCATTTAATTTTTTCACGCTATACAAAAACAAAACACAGCCAATCCATAACATTTTTACCCAAATTTACCAAAACAAGTCCACTCATGCCCCAGCCACACAATACTTTTTTAGTTGTTATAGTGTTTACAAAAAAGGAATGGACTTTTGGGCTAACATACTACAATAAGTTTATTCTATAGAAAGTCTAGGAGAAAATCAACAAGTAATGTATAAAACAGTTTATTTACTGTTTGTTACTATAAGTTGTATATGTGTAGAATGTTCACATTGTATGTATATATGTGCATTTGGTTTTGTTCCGAATCGAAATTCGGACAAAAGTTTAATTTTTCGGACATTCGGATGTATTCGAATTTAACAACATTTTGTCCAAAATTCAAATTGAATTGAATTCAAAAGAAATCAAACTTGAAAACAAATTAGAAATATAAACATAATGCTGACTATTGCAAAATGTCTTCAAAGACCCTGTGTATTAGAGTTAGAAGGTAGCTGTCTTCCGAAATTAGAATTTCGAAAAGAATAGAATAAAACAGAATAGAATAAAAAATAAAAAAATAATAGAATAGAAAATAAAGAAATAGAAAATAAAAGAATAGATTAGAATAGAAAAAAAATTGTATAGCTTAGAATTCGTACTTTGAAAAGAACAGAACCAGCTTCTTCACAATGAATTTGGATCGATTAGATATTTGTGATTCAAATTGTATTCTAATTTGATTCA